TCTCTCTCTCTCTCTCTCTCTCTCTCTCTCTGTATATAGATAGATAGTCTGTGGTGGACATTGTGGGGGATACATATTTTATTTCTCTATTTCTATTGCTTGTTGAATTGAATACAATTGAATTTTAGGCTCTGACTCCTGGGACAGCCAGCATGCAATGGTTTCTTTGACCTCGTCTACTGTGCTGTTGTGGAAAGTCAGTCAACAAGCATTTATTAAGCCCTTTTATGGGCTGGGCAGGACTTGAACCCAGCTCTTCTGACTCCAGATCCAGAGTTCTTCCTGGCAGCATTGAATTGCCTCCCTAACAAGCATGAGAGGGAGGCTCTGAACCTGGGTCTTTGTGATCCCAAGTCCATCACTCTGTCCTCTGCCATGCTGCCCTGACGTGCTGGTCAGTGGTCCTAGATGCTGGGGGGAATAGCTCTACAGCTCTGTCTTTGGGAGCCTAGGTGGGGAAACAAGGCTGCCGCTCAAGGATTAGACTGAACCCCCAGGAGAGAGATGGTCTACCTTGGAGAGACTCTGTGGGAAAGCAGCCAGGGCCTTGAAGGACGGGCCAGTCTGGGGGGCCATAGAGAGGGGGAGTGTGTTCTAAGACAGGACGGAAGGATGGCTCACTGGGGAGCACCCAGAGATGGAGGAGTGTGTGGGCAGGCTGGGGCCTCTTGGCTCATTTCTGGATTCTCTTTTGTCCGTGTAAGCAGAAGGGAAGGGAAGCAGAGATGTGACCCCTGATCCTTGTGGCTTAAAGGCTCCTCTCCCCTCACCTGGTCTGACTTTCCTCCTTCTCCCCCGCCCCCACCTGCCTTATGTCCTCCTTCCCTGTAGAGGGTTGTGTTCCACTCCCCCTAGCCCATTTGATGGACAGGGATGCTGTCTTTTTCCTCTGGATAGTCCCTTCCCTGCCTTGTGCCTTGCACATAGGAAGCACGCCCCTTACTCCCTCTTTGTGGCTGGGTCACTGTCCTCTTCTCTCTGCCCTGGGCAGGTCCACCAGACGCTCACAGTAGAGTTGGATAAAGTCCTGCACGCCCTCACTTGTAGGAAGAAGAAAGCCGCCTTGTTCTCAGGTGCGTGGTGGGAGGAGGGCCATGGGGAGGAGCCTTCTGTCCTGGGCACTCACAGTAACCAGCTGGGGTGGAGGTTGTCCGGTCTGGGGGTGGATGTGGGGCGAAGTGTGGAGCCGAGGATGGAGGAAGGTGTTCTCTGTGCAGCCAGCATTCTCAGATTTCTTCGGACGGCCCTGGAGCAGAATTTCTCCTCTGCCCTGGTGATGCTGGTCAGCTCAGACCCAGGGCGGTTGCCCTCTCCAGAGGATTCTGCCCTCTCCCCACTGTCACTTCAGCAGGTCCTGTTCCTCGTGGTCAGCCTTCAGAACCTCCTGGTGCAGGTATGTGCCTGGCCCCAGAGGGTGAACCCAGTGGTCAGAGAAGACCTTTAGGGCTCGTGGGAACTGCAGGAACCCTTGCTAATAAGCTAATGACTCAACTTTGGAGCTTAGAAGTAAGGCTCTGGGTCAGGGATATATTGGGAATGGAGAGGTGTTGTTCACCATCCTCCCTGCTGATGTTGACTGATGAACACCTCCTTCTTAGACATCCCACAAGCCACTAGAAACCACCAAACATTTCCTCTTTCGACTCCCCCCCCCCACGTGTCCCTGCTGCTCTTGGCCCTTGACTTCCTGCTCAAACCGGGGTGAGGTCTGCCCTCATCATGTCCACACCACAGAGAAAGCTAGTTGGTGGGGCACGAGACAGACTGTCTTGTAGAAGGGGTGTGAGACATGCTCTGTTGGGCCTCAGAGGCCAGAACGAGGAGCAGCGGGGCTGTGGAAAAGAGTCAAATTTGGGCTGGAAGTCAGGAAAAATTTCCTAACAATGAGAGCTGTCCCAGAGTGTCTAGACTGCCTCTGGGGCAGTGGGCTCCTCCTCCGAGGCCATGAAGCCCAGGCTAGAAGAGGTGTCCCAGAATGGTGTGGGCTGCCTCTGGGGCAGTGGGCTCCTCCTCCGAGGCCTTGAAGCCCAGGCTAGAGGACCGTTTGTTCTGGTTAGGGGTTGGAGCAGGTGACCACTGGGGTTCCTCCCAGTTCTCCAGTCCTGTGATCCTGAATCTTGCCCAAGGCCTGCTGGTGTGTGCCCAGCATGCCAGCCTGTTCAGCTACTCTCTCCCAGGGCCATGGTTATTATTCAGGTTTGATTTCTTCTAGGAAACCTTCCCTGGCTGCTGATTTTTTTGTTTGTTTTTAAAATCTCCAACTCATTGTCCTTGTCTCTTCTGTGCCTGGCCTGCAAAGAGGAGAGTTTCAGGGCTGCCCTCACTCTGTCCTTGGCATTAGGGACATTGTAGAAATGTGGAAAAGAGCACTTAGCTTGGCATTCTGTGAACTGGGTTCACATGCAGGCTCGGGTACTTTGGTGTAGCTGGTTCCCCTGGGTAAGATGAGCAGCCTGGGGCCTTGGTTTTCTCATTGTAGAGTTTTTGTGGTGGTTGTTTGGTCACTTTTCAGTCGTATCTGACTCTTCATGACCCTACTGAGGTTTTCTTGGCAAAGATACTGGTTTGTATCATAAAATTAGGAGGATAATATTGACGTCCTCTGCCTCAGAGCTGTTGTTCAGGAAAAAGTCCTTTGGAAACACAGGTAATTGTTATCCCTGGTGACACTGTCATGCACTAGCCCTCTTAGAGGCGATCCCCACGAGGAGCTGGTCTTTGGGGAGATGATTAGAGTGAGAATTGTTCGTTGTCTGTATTAGACAAAGTCTGTCCCCTGGGCCCTGCTCCTTTTCAGAACCCCTTAACCTGGTTCCCCACCACAGCCGCACACTCACCTCCCAAGGCAGCTGTACAGGTGTCCCAGTGTGTGACTGAGAGTTGTTATTACCTCAGCTCAGCTGTAGAGGTGTTTGGAGAGACAGTGGTTACTCTCCCCTGAGTCACCACACTGAGAAAACTATGCCCCAGGCTGCCTCCATCCCTGGATCCAGGAGGGTGGAGCTCTAATCTGGACCCTTCTCAGGAACTGGATTTGGAAACTTCCTCCCTCTAGAACCTACTGTGTGGAAGCCCAGTTTCACTGAACCATATGAAAAAAGGAACCGTGCCTTAGTTCTCTATAGTGCTTTTGAATTCATTCATTCCCTCATAAGCATCAAGCTTCCAGACTCTGGACTTGAAACTTCCAGGACTCTACCCATGACTGTTTGGACTACTGCCTGTCCTCTCCTTGTGAATTCCCTGCTCCTTGTCCTGTCCCCTTTCATGCCATGCCAGACCTCACGCTTAGGTGTCCTCCACAATCTTCCTTCTCCATACCTACAAATGTATTTCTAAACATTACTGGAGGAAGCTATCTGACTGGGCCTATTGAGTCTACTAACATCTCATTTTATCTCATATCAGTAGGAGTCTCTTCTCACTCTTCACAGCAGAAATTCAAACCCTTTTATCTGATCAAGCCTACTACAATATTTCCTCTTGCCTCTTAGATAGACAGGCTAGAACAACCACCCAGAGAGAGGTAGGGTTAGGTCATAGGTTCCCCAAGTGGGCAATACCACTCCCTGAAGGGCACTGGAAAGATCCAGGGGGGGCAGTAGTATCTGCGGGTGTAATTGGGGGTCATTGAGTAAAAATAAGGGGGTGGTGGAAGCATAAGGAAAGAAGAGAATTTTGAAAAACCATCGGGACATTTCATCTGTTGTGTAACAGAGTTAAAGTCGTAGTGATTACATTATTTTCCAAATAAACTCACAAAATACAAGTTATAACCAATCAGTGGTCAAGTCTGCCAACAAGTCTTAACAAGCAAGTATTGGCAGGTGAGCATGCCGTGCATTGTTGGGAAATCCAGAATGTATCAACAGGAATATGTGCATGTAATGACTTATTTACAATAAGATACTGTAAGGTTACATGATGCAATATTGTGTCATCAAAATTTCAATGAGGGAAGAAAACCACAAATTTACAATAAATTATTAAATTTAAGCTACGTCATTTAAAAAATTATATTTTTTAAAAATGACACGATTTTTTTAAACTGTTAAAGGGTTAAAGAAAGTAGATTTCTAGGGGGGTGCTGAGTAATTTTTTTTAAAGGGGGCAGTAGTCCCTTGGGAACTTCTGGGTTAGGTGATGGATCTTGGGCTAGCTGAGAATGGTAGAGAGCTTGTCACATCTCTAGCACTTGTCCTCAGCAGAGAACACCATCACTTCCAGGATGAGCTCCTGATCTTGCTGATTAAACAGGAGCAGGGTAGTGGTTAGCAGTGCCACCTGGTGTTCAAATGGGAAAATAGGGGCTATGTGTCATCAGCTCCTCTCCTATTCCGTACCCCAAAACCCCTCCACATCACTCTTGATTCTCTTCTTTACTTCAGCCATGGAGGAAGAAGTGATCCTTCTCCTTTCCACAACCATCCCCTCTACTTTGCCCTTGATTCCATACCTTCCTGTCTTCTCCAGAAGCTTGTCCCATCCATCAATCCCACCCCACCGTCTCTTTCTCTCTCTGTGTCTTTGTCTCTCTCTGTATGTGTCTCTCTGGTTTCTCTCTGTGTGTCTTTTTGTCTCCGTCTCTCTCGTATTCAATCTTTTCCCATCTGTCGGCTCCTTCTCTTCTATCTAAAAATAGACCCAGGTCTCCCCCATCTTTAAAGCCTTTCACTTGACCCTGCCATCCCCATCCTCACAAGCTATCATTTTACGCCTCTTCTTTGCTTCTTAGCCAAATTCCTGGGAAAAGTCATCCATACTTATTCCCTTGGCTTCTTCACCTCCCCCTCACATCTCAAATCCTTGCAATCCAGCTTCTGACCATGCAACTAGACTAAAATTACTATCTCCTAGGTTACCAGTGATCTCAACCACTAAAGCAGATGGCCTTTTCTTAGTCATCTTTTCTGCAGCTCTGGACATTGCCAGCTGGCCCCTCCTCCTGGCTACCTTCTCTCTTGACTTCCATGACATTTTTCCTTATTCTTCTCCTGCCTGTCTGACTGTTCCTTCTCAGTCTCCTTTGCTTTTACTTCATCCATCTCTTACCCCTTACATGGGAGTGTCCCACAAGGCAAAGTCCAGGGCCTTTTTTTCTCTCTACATAATTTCTCTTGGATGATTTCCATAGATTCAGTGGTCATCGTCTGATCTATGTATTCAGTCCTGGACTCTCCTGAATTTCAGTCCCACTTTGTCAGCTATCTATCTGGTAGAACCACTTAGATGTCCCGTCAGCATGCCAACCCAACATGCCTACACCTGAATTTATCATCCTTTCCCCTAAACCCTTCCCTCCACCAAACTTCCCTGCTTCTGTTGAGGATACATATCACAATCCTTACAGCCACTCAGGTTTGCAACCTAGGAGTCATCCTTGGTTCTCCTCTCTTCCTCAGCCTCTATAACCAACCATTTGCCAAGTCTTATTAATATTATCTCCACAGCTTCTCTCTTCTCTCACTACTCTTATTCGGGATCTCATCACTTCTTGCTTGAACTGTTGTTTTAGCTGCCAAGTAGCCCTGCTAGCCGCTAACCTAAGTCTGTTCAAAGGAAGGCTCAGGAGCTGGGCTTGACCTATGCTCACCCTCATAGTTATGTGCTTTGCCTACTCTCTAGCCAAAGTGTTGTGCAAGTGCCAAGCTTACTTTAGTTCTCAAAGAGTAGACTACTTTCTTTCCCCTGATTTGATCTCTTCTGTCCATATGGCTATGACAAATCATCAGGCTGGGGATATGTTTAGTGTGCCTTTAACTAATATGCATAGCTCTGAGCCCCCATCCTACCAGAAATCCCACTACCTTCCTTAGATTTTCTAAATTTCACTGAGACCTAGTCACAAGATCTCAGGATAATGGAGTCAGCTCTCCCTCAGGAACAAATAGCCATGCTCTTATACTGTATGTGGTGTTTTATTCTTTCTGCAGAATCAATAAAATCATTAAAACAGTAAAAAATTTAAAAAATCTATCATACATGCCTGCAACCTCTCCAAACTCATCCAACTTACAGAGAGTTTGAAGGCAGCACTGAGTCAAAGAGTTCTAAGGAAGGTCTTTCTTGCCTATGGGCAAAGAAGTATGGATAATACCATACCTGTCCCAGATGGTGTTTGACTTGTGCCATTCAGAAAGCATCAGGTAAAGATTCAGGGACTCTGGGTCCAGAATGTGACTTCTTCTACAGTGAGAAAGAGGATGAAGGGGGCCATGGACTTGGGATCTGAGTACAAACTGAAGGGTCATCATAGCCATCTCATTGCTTCTAATGTGAAATACCCTATATTTTATTCTAGTTTTTTTTTTCTCTTTTGACTTTGTTTTAATATTTCTTCTTGTCTCTTGGAGTGACTAACTTCTGTTTGGTCCATTATAATTTTCAAGGGGT